ATTGTGGCAGGCACCTGTAGTCCCAGCTACTCAGGAGGCTGAGGCAAGAGGATCACTTGAGCCCAAGAGACTGAGGTTGCTGTGAGCTATGACACCATGCCACTCTACCCAGTGCGACAAAGTGAGACTCTGTCTCAAAAAAACAAACAACTAACAAGTAATCAAACTATAATTCTATAACATGGCTACTTAATGGTAGAAAGTGATGATAGCTGGTAACTCCAGAAAGATTAAACAAAGAACAGGAAAGAAAAATAAGGAAGGAGGAGGAAGGGAGGTGGACGGAAGAAAAGAGAGGGAGAAACAAAATAGGAAGAAGATAAAAAGAGAAATAATATTTTTTTTTAAGTTTGTTTTGGCTGCCCATATTTAAGGCCCCTTACAATTTGTAAGGCCTACATCAATTTGAGGATCACTTTTTCCATTTCTACAAAATAAGACTATTGGAATTTTGACAAGGATTGTGTTAACTCTATAGATTAATTTGAGAAGTACTGATATTTTAATAATATTAGGCATTTCAATCCATGAACATAGTAATCTTTTTATTTATTTATTTATTTATTTTTTGAGACAGAGTCTCACTTTGTTGCTCTCAGTAGATTGCCATGGTATCCATCATAGCTCACAGCAACCTCAAATTCTTGGGTTCAAGTTATCCCTTGCCTCAGCCTCCCAAGTAGCTGGGACTACAGGTGCCTGCCACAATGCCCAGTTATTTTTAGAGATGCGAGTCTTATTCTGGCTCACGCTGGTCTTGAATTCATAAGCTCAGGTGATCCATCCTCATCAGCCTCCCAGAGTGCTAGAATTACAGGTGTGAACCACATTGCCCAGCCAAAAAATAAAATCTTTTAAATCTAATGTTTCACTTATTAAAGTGTTCGTTATGTCCCCTTGAAAAAGATGTTTTCAGCTCACTACTGACATTCATCTATAATTTTCTAAAATATAATTCTATTTTCTAATATAATTATTATTCAGTTCTAAAACAGAAGACTGAACATTTGATGGATTAACAATTGGCTGCTCTTCTTAGCACCAAGGTTCACATTATTTCCTATCTCAAATCCTAGTATAGTATATAAAGGGAAACAAATTTTTATCTATAAGAAGAAAGTGTGTCTCTATATATGGTGACACAAGCATAGTAAAGAAGCATTTGCAAACAAGGATAAAAATGTTTTTTTAAATTGCCATCAAGGCATTGTAAAAAGTTAAACAAGTTCACCTGTATGTTTTTTTTTTGCCTTCATATAAACTAGTAATAGTGTTAGGAAAGAAACCTGATCTAACCAGAACAAAATAGTTATTAATATATTGATAATATGAAAGCTAAAATAACTTAAAAAAATAGTCCTTATTCACAATAAGTAAAATGGAAGCACCAAAACACAGACTTAACTAGTTGTACCCTTATAAAACCACTCCTTAACAATTTTACTGCTTTTCTTTTGACTTCTTAAGCAGCACACTTGCTTAGGACACATTCTTTCCCATCAGGTATTAGAGTTCTGAATTCTAAAAACCATTTGGTTCAGATAATCAAGTGCCTATATTTAGTTTTCACATTGAGAGTTTCTCACATGCTTTGAGTAATATAGCTGTGCTCTGATGGTCTGAAAATTAAACATCTTAATTTTAAAATCTGTTTTACTAGACCATCTGGATTAGAATATAGATATTTAAGCAACCTTTACATTTACTTCTCCCTATCCCCCAAATCTAAAATAGTTCATTCACAAAATATTTTTGTTATGCTTACATGATAGTTCTCAATACTGCTTGATGAGAGGAGAATAAAGATAACTAGCAAAATCAAAAGTTTATTTTATAAATAAGCCAAGTCTAAAACTTAACATGGAAAAACAAATTGTCATATACATTTATTTAAATACTTTTATTTCAAATGTTTGAGATTACCATTAATTTCTTTAAAATCATAGGATTCAATTATATAATACTTTTCATAGGATTCAATTATATAATACTATTGATAAGTAGCAAAGCCACTATTCATCATTAGTTTTATTTACTGAGCATCATATAACCTTGTATTTGATAACTCCAAGTCATAATATTAGTCAGTCATGAAATGTAGTAGGTTAGTAAGTAGCATCTAAAAAAAGAAATAGAATAGAAAATATCAGAGTACAGCAAGAATAATGGTGTTTTCTAAAACTTTTATTTTAGTTGTGTTTATGTTCACAAATATATGTATGTGTTTATTTGGTCATGCTTTAAAACATATTTTTAATATAAAATACCATGATAGAACAAACAAATGATATTATTGATAAAACAATGATGGACAGGGAAATAATTTATCATGGAAGTACTGACTATATTAATAACATTTTCTGTAAAACCTTAATGAAGTTGTTTACTAATGTAGCTAGTTTTTATGTCTATTCCCTGCCTTTACTTGGCAGGCTTATGTTCTAATCATAGTCACAATTATCAGATTTCCAAACTAGGTAAGTATAGTTTTGTGAAGGAAACAATGGAATAAGATTGAAGCCTAGAAATTTCCTATTAACATACTCTTACCTGTTGGTAATCCTTTTCCTCTCAATCTGTCTCGAATAGCCTGGCTTCGATCAGACCTTTGTTCACTGTTACTGGAAAGTTGATCCGTCTGTACACAAGTAATCAAAAATCAAGTTTGACAAAAAACCTTCCTTTTGTATTCATGGTAATTGTCTGCAGAATGACACTAGTTAGACAGTTTTTGGAGCATATAACATTAAGACACTCCATGTCCTATTTTATGCAATAATTAATATTCCTTGGATAAGATTTATTTAGTCCAATACCAGCCAATTCATTTTCAGAAAATCAAAAGGCAAGAAACATAGCCAGGCATTGCGGTGGGTGCTCAGCTATTTGGGAGGCTGAGGCAAGAGAATCGGTTAAGCCCAAGAGTTGGAGGTTACTGTGAGCTGTGACGCCACAGCACTCTTCCCAGGGTGACATAGTGAGACTCTGTCTCAAAAAAAAAAGAAAGCAAGAAACAGTTACCAAAGAGTAATTTGCTAGCTAGGGAACAAAAGCAAATTAAGCAAGTTAAAATGAGTCCCATCTGAAAACAGTAAATTTAAAGTTTTGGGTGTTTTTGCCAAACGGATAACTATTTTCATCCCTCAAGTTAAATCATAATTTAAAAAACACATTAATTGTAGTATAATAAAGTTTTTTCATTATAACTAGGGATTGAAGGATTTAAATTCTTTTCAGAAATAATTTTCTAGGTTTTGGCTGCCACAAATTACAGTTGAGAAATACTAAGTCTAAATGTATACCTTGGGGGATGACAATTAAATTTAAATCAATGTTCTTTTGAATCCCCTTTACAACAAAATGTTTAAGTAGTCTTAAACTATCATAATAACTTTAACCAAGGGTATTTGTTTAAAATAAGCATGTCAAATTAGGTCAAACTAAAGGTTCCATTATAAGGGACAGAAAAGTTTGACAGAATATTAATTTATTCAGATGACCAATCAGAGGAAAAATGATATAAATGCAAGGAGCTATAAGTGGAAGGAGACAGAATGGTGAAGAGAAATTACTTAAATCTGGCACCAAAAGCATGGATACATGTTGTTTATTTCTACATACATAAACGCAAATATTTTTAATATTACTCCATTAGTGAAACTTGTTTGAGTATGATTGATTAAAAACTTAAGGCAATGTATTGAAGGCTCAAGCATTATGTTTTCTACCTGTAAGACTTAAATAATGTTATCATTCAAATTGTAAAAATGATGCTAGGCCAGATTATACTATATTACCAGTGACTGAAAAAGACAGTGAACATCCTGTATCTTTGGGAGTCCCTGTATTAAAGCCACCACTAATAATAGCTATATCAAGTCATTTCTGTATATCAGGGACTGCCTTAAGTGCTTTATACACTTTCTATTATTTAATCCTCAAAACAGCCTCAAATGGAAGATATTATCATCATACTATAAATAAAAGGAAAAATAGCAAAAAAAGTCTAAGAACCATAAAACAGCTTATCAATACTGAAATAATTATTTTCATAATTGTTCAGTAATGTAGGGGGTGGCATGTACTATTATTCCTATTTTACGGATAAGTACATTAGAGGTCAAAATATTTTAATATTAAATCAGTAGAAGAACAAGTTAGTTGGCCTGCTTTTACTCCACACAAATTAATTTTAAGTGGGTAAGAATTATGGTCATTTAGAATAAACTGCATACTAACTAAAATACTAACTCATTTGATCAGCTACTAGAGGCAACAACAGCTTTAAAGGAGCATGATGGCTGAAAGCATGGGCTTTAGGGTCAGAAATACTCAGGCTCCAATTATGTCTCTGCCATTTACAAAACATGTGGTTATGTACAAGTTATTTAATCTTTCTTGGCTTTAGTTCATCATCTCTAAAACGAGGATAAAATCATGTCTTTTAACCTAGTTGTTATGATGAATGAATATGATGATACACACAAACCACTTAGTACAGTGATTGGTATAAAGTAAACACTTAAAAAAAAAGTAGTTGTTGGAGTTATTCTGTCCAGTGACATCTAGGAGATTGGGAAGAAAAATGGAAAGGTAGGGAGGAATGCTATTATACTTAGCAATAATTGGCCTTTGTAAAACCAGGCTCTCTACATCCTGAATCCAATTGATCCCTCTACTGTTCTCGTTCACTAAATAATCCCACAACACACCCTATATCAGACTAATTACAGTTCCCCCAAATATATTCTGTTCTTTCCTGTTTCACAGCATTTATCCAGGTTTACTTCCGTCTGCCAAGATTACTCTAAGCCTACAGGATCTACATCAAAGTGCTATTTTTCAATGTAGTCACACTCCCCTCAAACTCTCATAGCTTTTAAATTTTTACTATGTTACTCTTCATAGCCTTCTTTGCATTTCATAATCAAACAACGGTTATAGCATTTTAGATAAGAGCTCCTAGATCATATTTTATTCAAATTTGTATCTTCTATGATTTTTTCTTTTCTTCATAAAAACATCTTCATTTGTTTAAAAGGGTAGTCAACAGGTACAGAGAAGCCAAAGTGAATAGCTTCAACACAATAAAATTAACATCAGCAGCAAATCCTCTTGCTTAAGACTTGAGAGACAGAGTGCATGTTTGCCAGAGTTCTCCACTGTTATTAAGGGGCACACACTATGCACTGTCCCTTCCTGGTAGGTTTCATATAGAGATGAGCAATATCCATTGTAATAAACTAAACAAAACACGAAACTTTTAAGGGATGGAAATTTGTTATGTAATATGTGCAATTATTGGATAAATAACATAATTTCTATGGAGGAATATTTCTTTATGCCAAAATAGAAAATAACATTGCTAGCAATTTCACTATTGGAGTAAAATCAACAAACCACACAAAGTTGTTAGAGAGGGTAAGGTGGAATAAAAAGTCCCTGGACTGACTCAAATCCCACAACAGTTCAGGTCTCCATTTCCTTGTCCATAAAGTTAAGTCTTGGAACATTAGTGCTATAAGAAGTTTGATAAAAAAGACCTCTAATGCCAAATAAGTTTGGGAAATGTTTCATCTATATGCCTGTCTCTCTTGAAAGTTAGTAATACAGCTTAGTGTGTATTGAAGACTCTTACCAGCTTTATCTTTGTTCAGAAAGAAATCACATGTAGAAATACAAATAATCAAATCAAACTGGAGCTGCTCTAGTTTAAGACAGGTAGTAGGCAACCAAGAACCCTGCTCATTCAGCCTATAATAAAATACCTCTATTCCTCTTCATTACAGAACTATAAAGGTTTCATGGAGAACCATTTACAAAGTTTTCACTTAGAAGATCTCTGGGCTTGTTTCCTATAAACTGGCAAAAATATGTGGAATTTAGATAGATTCCTGGCAGCCATCCAATATCTTCATTAATGCAGGGGAACTAAACTCTTGATAAGGGGTGATAAGGAACTGAGAGGAAACCAACAAGAACACTACATGTCAGCGGCAAATTTGTAACCCACACAAAGACAGAGGATCAAAGAGGAGGAGCAGATAAAGTGTAGATAGAGATTAGATATCCAAAAACCAAGGAGAATCCAGACTAAAGCAAATAGGATAGAATATAGTTTAAGAAATGCACAGCACGGGTAGGACTGTCAGATATTGTGTTTGTTTTTCTTGAGTTTAATATAGTCATCATATCCAAGATAAGAGAGAAAATGAGAGAGGTCTAGGGGTGATAGGACAGGGATATGAGCAGCACAGATCCTCTCTACATCCCAGATATAAGTGTCCAGAGAAGGTGGGAAGGTAAGGGAAGGTATGGAGAATACCTAGGAGATTGGATAAATAAATGGCCAAGAAAGAAAGATATGTAACCAAAAGGGAGTTCCAATTATTCTGAAGCCCATTTTACATGTTAATGAATTTTTCTCAGAACAACTTGCTAAAAGGCTAGATCTTAGGGAAAGACCTAAGAAAGGGGCAGAACAGATGTTTCTTGCTTAAACATGCTATGATTCTATGATTTGGGGGGAATAAAGTTCTAAAGGCAAAGTAACTCAATGGACTTCTAAATTTTAAGTGTTGTTTCAAATAATTTACATTAGAACAAAAAAATCAATTCTCCATTTCTGGTCTTTATAGAGAAAGGCTACCTATATGGTATCTTTAAAGAAAATTTTGTGATATGCTACTACATTTAAAAATATGACTATATTTACTTTTGCAACTATAGCTTACCCCAGAAAGATTTCCCAGAACCAGTTTTACCAAGTGTTTCACATAGGAAAATGAAGGTGCACAATTGCTATTCCTAATGTGGGCGCTGCAAGCATCCAGGACAGTCCGAACAGAAACTCGAGCATAAATAACATCCTCACACATTCCAAGAAGTATGCTATTGAGATGGTCTCCAAGCTTGATAGGCTGAATGTAAAGAAAGAAAAAGCCATGTTAACAAATATTAGTGTTGACTTGTCTTAGTCATTTAGGAAAAAAGAGAAAAAATAAATATTAGTCTTTTCTTTAAATGAAGCAAATAATTATAGAAATCACAGGAAGCATACTAAATATATGTCACATACTTGGAGGAAGTTAATTCCTTTTCTATTAGCATATATACCTTCCTGCATTTTACCTTTCCATAGCCCAGAAAAATTATTAGCAGAAGAGGGTTAACTTATACATCCCTAGATTGGAAGTTTTATAGAAAAACTCTAGGTCTTCTTTTTTTTTGTTATTGCTGGTATGATAAAGAAGTACAATTCTTTGGTTATTTAAATACTTTGATAAACAGTTACTACACACACATATACACACTCCCCATTGTAGGGGAATAAACTATTTCCTAATATTCACACATCCGACTTACATAATTTGATACTCATACAATAACTTAAAGGAGATTTTAAATATTGCCATGATCCAAGATCATTTAAATATAAATTCTCATTATGCTGGTCAGAAAAGCCAGGAAGTGAGTTTTTTAAAATTAGTTAACATATCTTATAGGATATTATATCTTAAATGGCCAATAAGCACACGAATAGGTGGTCAGCATCATTATTCACTAAGAAATATAAATTAAAACAACTACAGTAAGAAGCCACTACATGCCCGATAAAATGGTTAAAAATAAAATGTCCACTAATGCAAAGTATTGGTAAGGAGTGGAGCAACTGAAACTCACATCCATAATGGTAGTTTAAATTGGTTTATCCACTTTGCTTTAAATAAATGTCTTCCCTATAACTCTTCCACTTCTCATCCATTTGGATATTATTTCATCCTTTAGGTCTCAGCTTAGATGCAATGTTCTCTAAGAAACTGGTCCTCACCCTGCAAGTCTAGCCAGAGCCCCAATTCTGTTTTTTCATAGCACCTCCATTTTCCTTCACGGCATCATGTTGTTATTGACTATTTAGCTGTCTGCCTTCCAATAGCCTCCACAGGCATGGGTCACTATAGTCCTAAATGTCTAATACACTATAGTCCTACATGTCTGACACTAGGTAGATAATAAATACTTGAAAATTAGTATTAAATATTTCTTCTTTTTTTGAGACAGAGCCTCAAGCTGTCCCCCTGGATAGAGTGCTGTGGCATCACAGTTCA